GACTTTAAGCACACCTATTTTATATATTGTTTCAAACTTAGGTTCAAAGTGCTATTCGAATGTCGACAGAAACTACTATGACCAAAAGATACTCATGCGTATAAACAACACATTCTCTGCTGGTTTGCCTATTGTTCATTCGAATGCAGAGTTTTCAGCTTTAGTGAACTCAAACACTTTAGCAAACATAAACTTAACCTTAGTCGACGCAAACTTTGTTCCTGTAAAACTTTTATGTCCTATGTATTTGTCAATGACGGCAGAAAGTTTCGAATTGGAAGATGCAACTGGTGAAAGTATTGTATTACAAGAACAACTTCAACAACAAATAGCTCAAGAACAACAAATGCAACAAATGGAACAAATGCAACAACAAAGTCAAGAATAAAAAAAATATTTTTTTTATTTTTATAAAAATGTACAGAATAGATGTTTCAGATTTTTATGACTTCCAAGCCTTCAGAAATATGTGTCCATTTAGAGACTATAACAAAGCAGTCGAGAATTTGAAACGTTTAGTCATTTATGTCGACTCTGCCCCAGAATGTTATGTCATGAAAGAATGGGATGTTGTCTTTAACAAACCAAGAGCGACAATAGTTTCAGAACAAGAATGTAGACAGAAACTTAAGAAAATAAAAGTCGTACAAGTTGGTATGAAGATGTTAGATGCTTGGGATATCTTATTGTCAAAGTTAGAAGATTTTTCAGTTCGTGGTATAAAGTTCTATACACCTTCTCCAAACTTCTATTCTATCTTCACTGGATATAAATACGAACAAGTAGAATGGAAAGAAAATGTTATAGAAGCTTGGTTAGACCATGTCAAAGAAATTATATGCAATGGAAACGAAAGAGTCTATGAGTATATCTTATGTTGGTTTGCAAACATCTTACAACATCCAAGTGCTAAAAATGAAACTGCTCTCATCATAATTGGAAAACAAGGAACTGGTAAGAACACTTTCTTTACAGATATTTTATGCAAACTGTTAGAGGGCTATTCGAACCGAATATGACAAACTTAGAAAACATCTGCGGTAAATTTAACTCTTCAATAGAGAATATGAAACTTATAGTATGTAACGAACTTCAAAGTATAGATACAACAAAAGTTTTGAACTCAGATGCTTTGAAGAGTCTTATAACAGACAAAGTTGGAGTTGTTGAAAGAAAATATAAAGACCAAAGAGTTTGTGAAAATGTTGCAAACTTCGTCATGGTTTCAAACAACGCTGTTCCGATGAAGTTAGAAAGTTCTGACAGAAGATATGTAGTTGTCAGAACGTCAGATTCTCATATGCAAGATACAGAATATTTTGACGACTTAGCAGAAACTTTAACATCTGACTTTTACAACCACTTGTTCTCATATTTCATGACATTAGATATTTCTAAGTTCAATCCAAGACAAATTCCACATACCGAAGAGAGACAAACATTGTTAGAAGCAAACAAGAGTGTATATGAACTGTTCATAGATGAAACTGACTTTGAGTGTTTAGATGAAAGGTCATTGTACGATTCGTATAAACAGTATTGTCAAGAGTATGGTTATATGACAGCGTCTAAACGAACATTCTTGGCAAATGTCAAAAGTCTTTTAGACGTACAGAATGGTGTATATACAAAGAAAAATTTTTCTGAGTAAATTTAAAAAAAAATATTTTTTTATCCGATAGAAAAGATGACGAAATTCATCTCAGTAAACAAGTACATGTCAGGACTTAAAGAAGAACTAGACCCATTCACATATTTGAATGTTTACTTCTACCATTTTGAAAAGTCTACATTTGACAAAGTTTGGAACATCGAACCGGTTAAGTTTGCTATTGTGACTAAAAATGGTGCGAAATTTGAAGACTTAGACATAGAAGGTTTGTTAACAGTCAAAGAAAGTTTTGACAGAAGGTTTCAAACCTTAAAGAAGGCAAAGCATACAAACTTGTTATACCTTATGAACCAAAGAAAGCAGACGACTATGAATATTATGAGTCTAAGATAGTTGAAGTTCAAGGTAAATTGGGTAAAAAGATTTTAGAGTCTAAGCCGGTGTTTGCTCCTAAAGAGGAAGAGAACATTGACATTGACCCAGAAATGTTCTAAAAATAAAATTTTATTTTTACATGTCAAATTTCTTCTTCTCTGGCTCTGGTTCAGGTTCTTTCTTCTCTTCTTCTACTTTCTTTTCTTTCTTTTCTCTCTTCTTCTTTTCTGGTGGAGTTATGTCAAACTTCTCAGAACCATATTTTTGTAAAAGTTCTTTGTCCTTTAATAGCTCTTCTATTCTGTTTTCTATTTCATCTTCAAGAACAGCGCATGTGTCTTCTTTGCATTCTAAGAAGTTTTGTTGGACTTCATCTCTCCAAGAGGCGTCATCTCTGTCAACAAGTCTGTCATTGACAAATTTTAAGACTGCTCTGCTTAATGTTTTATGGTTCTTGTCATATTCCCAGAAACAGAACTTTAGAACAAATTCACCTTTCTTGTTTACACTATGTAAGATTTTATGGTCGACAGATGTTTTGCTGTCGAAAAGCTTGTCTCGAATATAGATAGCGAAATCGCTAGACATTTTCTAAAAGATAAAACTTTTAATTTTTCTAAAAATATGTTAGAAAAAAAGTTTGCTGACATTGACAAAAAATTTGAGAATGTTTTAAATAAGAACAAGAGGAAGTTGGAAAATGCTCAGATAAAACCCATACATGACAAGTTCTTATTTGCTCAGAATGGTATAACAGGTCTAATTGCACCACCTGGGTCGGGTAAGACTTTCACTTATCTTAAAATGGCTGCACAACAACAAGAACTAGATGAGAAGAACCCATTCTATGAGTTAGTAGTCATTTGTAGTACTTCGGGTCAATTTGACCAAACCGTCAATTCGTTCAAAGATATTATAAAGAAGTCTAAGTTAGTATGTATAAAAGATACTGAGTTGTTAGATTGGATAAAGAAGTACCAAAGAAGAGTTTTGAAGTACAATGCTATAAATGAGTATATAAATTCTAAGTTTAAAGACCCAAATGAGGAAATGCAGAGAATATTAGAGAAGAAACACTTCAGAAACAAACAGAAAGAGATAGAATACATTTCGAAGAAATTGCAATCTTACGATTGGAAGACTTACCCTCACAGATGTCTTCTTATCTTAGATGACTTTGCTTCTCATCCTTTGTTAAAGAATAGAGAACAAGACATGTGTCGAATTCTTAAGAAGCTCAGACACTTTAACATTTCAGTTGTCATTTGTGTACAGACAGCCAAGAGTTTAAGTAAGGATGTAAAGAGAATACTTACTGACATTGTACTTTTCCCCGGATTGTCCGAAGACGATTTCATGGAACTTATGAAAGAGTCCATGGCAGGTAAGTTTGACAGACATGAACTATGGGAGAAGTACAAAGTCATACAAGACCCTCATACTTCTTTCAGAATTCATATCTACGCGAACAAAGTTCAAATTGTAAAAAGTCAAGCTTGAAAAATGTAAGTGTTTGGTCTTAGTCTGTTGTGGTGCTGGGGCTTTCGGTTCTTCTGGCTTTGGAATGGACTCGGTTGGTGGTACGTCGGACATTCGTTTGTGTCCTGTCGGAAGGAAGAACTCGGAATGCCAGAAGGAAGAACTTTTCCTGTTGGAAAGAAAAATTTTTCCTGTTGGAAGGAAGAACTTTTCCTGTTGGAAGGAAGGACTTTTCCTGTCGGAAAGAAAAATTTTTCCTGTTGGAAAGAAAAACTTTTCCTGAAGGTCGGCCAAAAAGTTCTCAATTTTCGAAAATTTGAATGGTTTACGGACGGACAACAGAAAAAATTTTTCCTGTCGGAAAGAAAAATTTTTCCTGTCGGAAAGAAAAACTTTTCCTGTTGGAAAGAAAAATTTTTCCTGTTGGAAGGAAGGACTTTTCCTGTTGGAAAGAAAAACTTTTCCTGTTGGAAAGAAAAACTTTTCCTGTTGGAAGGAAGGACTTTTCCTGTTGGAAGGAAGGACTCGGAATGTCGGAAGGAAGGACTCGGAATGCCAGAAGGACTCGGACAAGACAATTTACCTTATAGAGCTACCTGAGCCATCTTTGGTGTCAAGCTTGAAAAATAAATGGTTCATCTACTCTGCTTGTTTGAAGTTGTCAAAATACTCTGTTATTTTTTCTTTCAGTAGCGGTAAATCTTCTTTGAAGGTAAGTATTGTACAACCTTTCATATCATAGTGTGTTTGAGGTAAAGTATCTTGAACTATCTGTTTAACATCTTCATTCGGTGTCATTGAAATCGGTAAGTTTTCGCGATAGAACCAATTTCTGTCAGATTTGTAAATCTTAGCAAGGTCGTAAAAGCTTTTGTTGTTTCTTCTGACTAAATGCAACATAACCATATCTCTGTCTTCTTCATTTTCCATCTCTTCAGTGTAAATCATATACTTATAGTTCTTTTCCTTTCCTTTTGGTACCGAACGTGGTATTCTTTTCTGTATGTTTTTGTCTTTTGCTTCAAGCTTGTTCTCTAGCTCTTCACGTTCTTGTCTATGAATTTCATCTAACATCATGAAAATATAACAAGCATAGCGAGGTGAAGCCCACATTGCAACAGCATTTACAAGAAGTCTATGTACATACCAGCCTCTCAAACCAGGAGCCAAATTCTTGCGATTTTCGTACGGAATCTCTACCCTCGGTTTTCCGAGGGTAGCAAACATATGAGGAAATTCTTCTAAAAGTTCTTTTGTCTGTTGGTTTTCAAACCAATGATATGCTTGCTTTGTAGAACGAAGAGCATTCAAAATACTTTGCATTTGGTACATGTCATCTTTGACCGAACGAATGAGACGGAGTTGTTTGTTATACTGAACCCACTCGTATTCTTCATTTATGTCTTCATGAACGATAGCAGTTGTTGTGTTCTCTGTTGTTGACATTACTGTCTTTACATACAAAATAAAAAAATAAAAAAAAATAAAATTAGCGTTATTTTCTATCTTGTATAAAAGACCAAAAATAAACGCTTTACATGTATTTTTCAGCAACTTCGTCAAATAATTTTATAGCACTATCTATCTCATCTACTTCAAACGTTTCTTTACCTTTCGTGGGAGCACCATACATTTTCTCAAACTTTTCAAGTAGTTCTGTTTCAGCAGCTCTCATATCGTTAACAAACGCAACCTTGACTCTATTGACTGTAGAGTCATATCTGTGAGTTATATTAAATGTTCTTCCTATCTTATATCTCTTTGTATTGAAGTCCTTCGGTTTCTGAACGATGTAAAGTAAGCCTTCACTGCAACGTTCAGTATCGAATGAACCATATGTTATGAAATTATATCCAACAACTGGGTCAATCCAGAACAAAACTACTGGTATAAGACTTTTGTCTATAAGATATGTTCTTGTTCCATAGAATCTTACCGATATCATAAGCTCAGGATTTTTTGTCAAAATTTTCTGAGTAGAAGCATTTCTAACCCAGTCGTGGGATGTTTTCTTTTCAGATAGTGTTAGAATGTCTGACAAGGAATATTTTTTGTATTTCTTTGAGTATCTTACGTTTAAATCACCAATTCTAACCACTTTGGTCTCATTGTCTATCTTTTTAACTGTTTCAAACTCAGTGTTTGTCATTTCCTGTTCTTACATACAAAATAAAAAAAATATTTTAAAAAAACTAACTTTAATTTTTCTATCTTGAGGAAATTCATGATTTCAGGGATTTTTTTGACGATTTTCATGTGTTTTAGGTGACCCCTGTAAAAGTCGGGGTCGCAATTTTTTACGATTTTCATGAGTTTTTTCACTGTTTTCATAGAGTTTTGGCGACCAGGGTTTTTCACCTACTCGCAATTTTTCACGATTTTCATGAGTTTTTTTACGATTTTCATAGAGTTTTGGCGACCAGGGTTTTTCACCTACTCGCAATTTTTCACGATTTTCATGAGTTTTTTTACGATTTTCATGAGTTTTAGGCGTTCCTCGGTTTTCCTAGGGACGCAATTTTTTACGATTTTCATAAGCGTTTTACATGGTAAACGTCATTTTTTTGACGAAGTGCAAAAGTTCTCTTCGTCAAAAAAACAGTTATTTCATAAGCGTTTTACATGGTAAACGTCATTTTTTTGACGAAGTGCAAAAGTTCTCTTCGTCAAAAAAACAGTTATTTCATAAGCGTTTTACATGGTAAACGTCATTTTTTTGACGAAGTGCAAAAGTTCTCTTCGTAAAAAAAACAGTTATTTCATGAGTTTTAGGCGACCCCTGGAAAAGTCTGGGTCGCAATTTTTTACGATTTTCGTACGGAATCTCTACCCGCGGTTTTCCTCGGGTCGCAAACATATGAGGAAATTCATGAAATTTGGTCATTTTTTTACGATTTTCATGTGTTTTAGGCGACTGGGTTTTTTTACCTGCTCGCATTTTTTTACGATTTTCATGAGTTTTTTTCACGATTTTCGTACGGAATCTCTATCCTCGGTTTTCCTAGGGTAGCAAACATATGAGGAAATTCATGAAATTTGGTCATTTTTTTCAGCAAAAATATATTTTAGGTGGAACCAGGTCACTCGGTCACTCGGTCAACTAACATCTTTTTGAAAATGGTGACAACATGACATTTTGACAACAACACAGGAAATAGATTTCATCGTAAATGTTTTGTCATGAATTTCATCGTCAATGTTTTGTTGAGACTTCATCGTCAATGAGCGTAAATCAGGCAAAAATATATTTTAGGTGAAGAGGTGAGATCTCACCTGTTTTCTCACCTCTTTTTTCACCCCATATGTCCTTACTGAAAAAGTATGTGTTCCATATGTCATTTTACTCAGAATTCAATAAAAATATATTTTAGGTGAAGAGGTGAGATCTCACCTGTTTTCTCACCTCTTTTTTCACCTCTTTTTCACAAGCGTCTTACATGAATTGTACGATGTATATTTGAAATCCTAAACAGTTTTGTGGCTTCGATTTCCTCTGTCAGTACATCGAATGTTTTAACAATGCCGAAGGTTTCTTTATATTTCTTCTTGACATCTGAAAGAAGGAAATCGTCAGCAGTTGGATAGTTTTTGTTCAGAAATGCTAACATGTCCATTTTATCTTCTGCTGGTTTCTCTGCTTCTTTCTTTAAGTCAGCATAGTCGTTTCGCATACGTTCTATCTCTTTGACGGAGTAGTTATATTTCCTCATTGCTGCTTTACATTTAGAACATTGTGGGTTCATTTTAGCGTTATATTCTGAAACCTTACCTGCTAAAACAACTAAGGCGTCAATGGTTTTCTTTAACTCAAAAGTTGCGGGTTTTATCTGTTGGTTCCATACCTTACCTCTTCTATCTTTATCTCTTATCTGCCATACACATTCAGCAACTAACGAAACAAAGTTGTCGTAGGTCTTAAACTCCCCAGATTTATATATGTCAGAGATGTTCTTATATAACATGTCGCAGTCTTTGTCCATGACTTTGTGGTTGCAATGAAATCCAAGGAATTCATAGTTTACCTTACGTATGAACTTCTTAATTTCAACTGAGTCAGTTGCTTTGACTTCTATTTCATCGAATTCTGGAATAGTGAGCTTTTGTTGTTGGATTTCAGGAAGTTTAGGTAGATGGTCAATAATATCCTGCATTTCATAAAGATATTCTTCATTTGTTTCATCTTTTGCAGTGCAATCTAAATCTCCTTGGAGAAGTTCCTGCTTTATCTTCTGGATTGTTGTTTCGAAAGTATATGAAGAAGGAATGAAGCTTTTCATCTCTACTAACATAGATGTTGGGTTCATGACTAACGAGTTTGGTGCTGTTGTTGCTAACATGTTCTTACAATAAAAATAAAAAAATATTTTTTTAAAAAAACTAACTTTATTTTTTATTTCGGGAAAATTCATGAAAATTCAACGGGTGAGAAAAGAGGTGAAAAAACGGGTGAGATCTCACCTCTTCACCTAAAATATATTTTTGCCGAGTTCAGCAACAAATTCAAGAGTTTTGTGTGTTTTCTACGGTGGAGCCAAAAGTGGCTCGACCTCAAAACAAGCATTTTGTGAAGAATATACCAACCCGCGGAATTCCGCGGGTTGCTTTTTATACAAAATTCAACGGGTGAAAAAAAAGTACAAGACTAGTTCTGAGATCTCACCTCTTCACCTAAAATATATTTTTGCCGAGTTCAATAAAAAAATGGTTCATTTACTCACAATATTTTTGTACAAAACGACCCCAAACTTTTAACTTCTTTTCTGCAGCTTCTAATGAAATTTTAGCGAGTTCATATTCTCTAAATTCTCTCTTTAAATCTTCTTGTTCCCATTGGTCTAGTTCGTATGGAGAGTCTCTATAACCATAACATATCTCACGTTCATGTTCTATTTGTTTAAGCACATTTTTTCTAACTTCTTGTTCGAACAAAGGTTTTGCATTCTCTACTGTATCTTCAAGTTCTTCTTCATCTAATTTCTCATGAACTTTCTTGTCTATGGAGTCCAGAATTTTTCCAACTGCTATACAATATTTTGGAGAAGCCCACATTGCTATATAGTTTACGAGTCTTGGGTCTACATACGTTCCTCTAACCTGTGTGATTTCATCAGGAATTCCTGCATGAATTTTGTATAAAAAGCAACCGCCGGAATTCCGCGGGTTGGTATATTCTTCACAAAATGCCTTAAAATACTCTTCCCAGGACTTATTTTCCAACAACCTTCTAAAGTCTTTCCTAAACTGCTGACATATCTTTGTTGCATTTATATAACCATCCTTGTCTCTACGTAAGACTTCAATACCGTTGTAAGTGCCTTTTGTGAATGTTTCGCCATTAGATTTGTTCGTGAACGTTTTTGCTTCGACTGTCATTTCAGTACGTACAATAAAAATAAAAAATATTTTTGGGTGGCTTAACCGTCGGACATCCGTTTGTGGCTTAACCGTCGGACATCCGTTTGTGGCTCGACCTCAAAACAAGCATTTTGTGAAGAATATACCAACCGCCGGAATTCCGGCGGTTGCTTTTTTATACAAAATTCAACGGGTGAAAGAATACGACGATGAAGTCTCAACAAAACATTGACGTTCATGTTTGACAAAAACATTGACGATGAAGTCTCAACAAAACATTGACGATGAAGTCATGACAAAACATATACGATGAAGTTTATTTCCTGTGTTGTTGTCTAAATGTCATGTTGTCTCATTTTTTCAGAGAAGTTCATTTGACCTGGTGACCTGGTGACCTGGTGACACCTAAAAAAACATCTACCCTAAAATATATTTTTTCTGTCTTAAGGAAATTCATGAAAATTCAACGGGTGAATTTTATATAAAAAGCAACCCGCGGAATTCCGCGGGTTGGTATATTCTTCACAAAATGCTTGTTTTGAGATCTCACCATCTAACCAAAACTCATTTTTCAATACTTTTTCAGCACTTTTCCGTAGTTGTATATGAAAGACAATTCGAGATAAAAGTCATAGTACAATGGTATTATATGCTGCACACCGTTTGTTGTGAACCAAACTTGAAAGTCAGAGAAACTGTTACTAGGTGGTTCGTAGAATTTAGAAGCAAAGTCATAAAAGTCCTTACCAATACAAAGAAAACTGTTGTTGCTTGAACTGAAACTTGCATGACACATGACATTTTGAGGGTCAAACACGTTTCTATAAACTGTCAAATCTGCTGGTGGAAGTATAAATTTAAATGGACCATCTGGTGGTAATGGTTCGTTCTGGTTTAGTAACCGAAGAAATTGTGCCCAAGAACGTTTGTCTACTCCCCAATATAAAAACTCTGTATCTCTTGGAGGGTTAATTTCAATCTTTTGAAATGAAACGGTGGAGTTCATCTTGTCATATTCTAGTTTCAGATAGTATGTTCCATTTAGTAAAGAGTCGTATTTTTCTTGAAATTCCCAGTAGTATTTGTTTATTTGAGTTTGAAAGTCATTTAGAGTTTTTTCAAGACTTTCGTCTGAACGAATTGTAAAGATTTTCATTTCGTCAAATTTTTCTATTAGACCATCAGAACCTTTATACTGCCCATGAAAATATACTGCGAACATAAACGCGTTAGTTCTATTTGAAAACAAAACTCTTCTAAATCCTATTGCCTTTGCATCTGAAGGACTTTGAAGCCAACGAATTGGATAGTCAAACCTGTATATACGGGATGAAATTTCTTCATCTGAAATATTTCTACCAGCATTTGTGAAGATATAGTCTAACGGTTTTGTATCTGCTACTTTTGTTCTTTGTTTTTCAACCTGAAGCATTTAATATATGTAAAAATATATGGTTTTAAAAAATGTTTTTAAAATGGTATGCCATATAGCTTCTTGAATTTGTTAAGAAGTATTTTAACGTTTTTTCCATCTGTATCTCTAGTGTTTACATAAGCATAGCCTGCCTTAGTAAAATATACTTGTAATTT